AGACTGAGGATTCTCCTTTTCTCAATGACACTTCTAAAGGTTCTTCCCTTTCTACCACAGTTCAAAGCCCATGTCTGTTAGCCTCCTGACAACGTCTGGAGACTCCACTCCGCCTTTGAATGATTTCAACACCTGGTTCCCTCTCTTCCTCTCCTCCATTCTATCTTTACCTAAATACCTTGCATACTTATAGATGTGAGGCCTGAATTCCTTGATTACTTGTCTATAACAGTCAACACACCTGGCAAACTTTAGTCATTTTCTCCCAGGGTCATATTCTAGTTCTTGTCATTACCCAAAATATTGCTAACTAAAATCTTGACATCAAGGTTTGCATTCTCTGACCCATTTCACTTACTATATTATAATCCTAATTTAATAGGTCTTTGGCTCCATTTTTTTTAATCACCCTTGTGTTATTTGTTATTGTTAAAATGCTCGAGGGCCTTGATTATTGTTTAGTGCCTGCTTTTAATGGGTTAAAGGGAAACAGAATTTGGCTACTAGGGACCTAATGGGGGGGGGGTTTACATTGGCTGACAGGCTCGTATTTTATAACCTTTTGCACACTACATGCCTGTTCCCATAATGCATCTGATTTTAATCATATGCACGGCCAGTTATGCCTAGCCATAAGATGGTAACTAGGGAATTATTTGTAAAAATTGTAAAAATTATTTGTAAAAATAAGAGAGGGTTTGTCTTACTGCACATGCACTCCAAACAGTCTACCCAAATATGCCCATTGTCCAGTGGCTTGAGATTGTATTCCAGGATGTGTTTGAATAAAAACAGGCAGGCACCAAGGAGCTGCTAAAAGGAGGAGTTATTTCCATCGGTAAAGGCAGGTCTACATGCAGCTCTACCCAGGTGGAGTCCTCGGCTGCTAGCAGGTTGCTAGGTGCATTGTTTGGAGATGAGTGTGTGCATAGCCAAGCAGAGTGGTCCAGGTCGCTGAGATGTCCCTTATGCTTGCCTGCTTTACCTGCGTACCATGTTTCAGGCAATATCCTTTGTCCTTTGCCTCCATACTGTTTTCATTTGGCAAACCCTCAGCCATTGGTTAATCCAGCCCATCTCTGTTTTGAGCTAAACCCGCTGGACTGAAGTCAACAAGTCTTTGACACATGACCACTTAATGTATTTGTGTCAAGGCAGCCACTAATCCCCACGTGACTATTTTGAGATGGAGCCTTGCTAGGTAGCTCAGGTTGACCTTGAACTTGCTCCTGTCTCCTGAGTGTTGGTTTTACAGGTGAAAACCATAGCCAGTTTACAATCCTACCCTTTAAAACAGACTAGAACAGTTCATGGATAAAAATTACAAACTCATCACCCTCTGATTCCAGCAGTATTTCTATTACTCCTATTAGCAGTATTTCTAATCCTCCCTGTGAGAAAGGGAGTTTATTTGGGATCAGGCTTCATGATTGAAGGAGGGTGTATGGAGCTCTCATCAAAAGAAATCTCACTTGGATCCACTAGAGACAGCTATTAGATTATCGGAACAGGGGTGTTTGCAAGCTCAGCGTCTTCACTAATTTTCCAACTAAGCTCCAACAAAGGCTAAATGGACTTCTACATTTGGATTCACAATCTTAAGTTGTGAGGGTGTTACCATAATGTCTGCTCATCCCTTTTGTTTGGTTGAGAACTGGGCATAGTCTCAGGTCGTGATGACTACCATGGTCAAACTGTTCTGTTTGAATTAAATCTCGTGATGGCTTTAGTGCTTGAAGAAAGAGTGGAACCCTCTGTGGACATTGAGATGGCTTGGTTGAATACAGCACTTCAAGCCAAGATCCCTGGGTAAGAAAGACTGCTTTTGAAACTCAAATCCTGCTGCTTGTTGCCAGGATCACTGGCTGATACTTCTCAAACAACCAAACTTCTGAGTTTCCTGATCACATGAATATAAAGTAAAGGTGAAAAAGACTCACCTACTTTTCTTATAGCCCCAAAGCAATGACGACAGTGCGCTTTGGTTGACAGGTTAGGCGAAGAACGGTAAAGACATGAAGTGTTCCTAGAAACTGAGAGAAAAGTCTGCAACAATTGCTCCAGAAGGAATATCTCATTTATTTTATATCACTTCATAGACACCTGAGACAGAGCCAACATCAGTTCAGGTAAAAGTGAAAATGACTTCTAAGGGCCAAGAGGTAAAAATCTGTTGAAATGGGGAAGCGCTTGTTAGGGAGAGCAGGATCATTTCGAGGCAAGAAAGTCACAGAAGGGGATTAGTAGAAACTGTAGAGGTCATCTCGAGGAGATAGAAACAACCAAGAGCACATTCACTTGACCTGTTGTGCACAAGCGCATGGCATACACAAAACACCAATGACAAGATTCAAATTCTCCGAAATGGACTTACAAAGTGGAGAAGAAAATGTTTTTTGTTTTGCTGAAAACCTCTTTATTTTATAAAAATTTAAGAAATACCCACAGTATGTGTGCATTTTATGGAATATGATTTTTCCTTCTTTTTGGTGATATCAGTAATGTTTTCCTCAAAATCCCTGATCGTCACGATAACTTCATGGCACGAGGTGTCTTGGCACTTGATTTTCCCTACAGTTTGATTTTAGAAAATCTTATGCTTACATCATTTCACTGAAATACAGTTCTTTTCTTGCAAACAAACCAATGGTCGCTTTATTGAGTCGTCTTTTGAGCCGTGTGGACGTCTCTTGTTGATATCATGAAGGTCTTCTTCATTCTAAAACCTTCATCCCCCTCAGCATTCGCTTATTAGAGCAACACAGTGTCTGTGCAGTAGTTTCTCAGTAAAAGCTGCATGGGTTGAACTGAACTAGAAAAATGTAACATGGCTAATTACCTGCCTGACACAGTGTCCCTTTCTGCCATGCTCTTATCATCAGAATCTTGATTTTCTTGAGGACATTGACCTTCTACCTTTTCAGTCAGCTGTTGGTGCAAGTCACTGCTTGCGACTTCTTGGTAAGCTCCTTCAGAGAAGTCAGGCCCACTGGATTTGAATTCTTGCCCTTTACTTTTCAGATGCCTAAGACATAGATGTGATGTTTGGGCAAGGACAACCATAGTAGAATCATGAGAATTGTCCACAGAAGGAGAGCAGAACTAGGACTGGCTTAATCTTGGTCCCCATTATTTGCTTCACATACAACTGATCCAGCTTCAAACTTCAGGCTCTTGGACCTCTGATAAAGCTACTATAAAAGATTTACATAGGCACAGACAGGTTCTTTAGCTATATGAGTAGTGATTCTTTAAATGAGGAAGGATTTGACACTATGGAATCCACCAAATTGTTTTTTTTTTTTTTTCACTTCCTCTGTCGTATTTTACTATTCTCCACTCCCAAAAAGAATTATTCTCCCACACACTTGGGTGAGAACTGATATCAAATAACATGAGTTTGAGTGATTCCAGTAATTATTTTTTTTTTGAGTGTCAAAGAAATGGATTGAAAATTTCTTGCATGCCTTTGATCTATCCCAGTGGTGAATAACAATAACAAGTGGTCGATAGTCCTCTTTCATGACATGGTCATTGTTGAGATCCTGTGGATTACTTGTTTGGCAGCCAATTATATTGCTCCCTGGATATGCAGTCCTAGAATATATTCCTCAACTACCTTTTCCTACTTGCCTCTCAGTGGGAGTCACATGCATTCCCAAGAGGAAGGTCAGAGGTCTTTCTTGCCAGGCAGGAGCATTTGGAGATTTCAGGTCTCACTTATGGCGTTTGTCATTTGACATGGTACTGTTTATCTTATATGTGCCTAAATGTCTGGGAACTTGCATTTTCTTGTAGAATTATTTTTTTCTCATGTGGCATTTATCTACTATGCTCAGTATTTTGAAAGTTTCTTTTTTAGATTTTTAGCGTTTACTGCAGCAGGCTTTATAGTGATTACATGCAAAACCATGCGTTATATATTTAAGGAGTAGAAACAACTATGAATAAGAGCTAGCCTCTGGCCATGAAGGGAACTGATAATGCAATGTAGGAGGTAGACCCGCACATGTATAATACAAGGAAGTGGCTATTCCGGTTTCTTTCTGATGGGCAAGCATTTTGCAAGGACATGGGCTCTGCATGTGTCAGACTCAAAGATACAGTTCATTGAGTCTTTCGGAAAGTCATTTCACTGGGAGGAGAAAATAATAAAAGTTGGTTGTCATTTCATCTCCTATAAGAAAAAGCAAATCTGATTATATGTTCATACTGGACCTGTGGCTAAATAATGCAGCCAAAGAAATTTACCACAACAACTTATTAGACAGATACCTTTCTTTTGCATTCAAGACTGCAAGACTTCCAGTCATCCAGCAATAGCCCAAAGGGCTGGGGCGTCCTCCAACAAAAGAAAAACATAATTTCCTTAGTTTTGCATTAATATCTCTTCATTTTTTACTTCAGAAAATTACTTCAAAGTGTTGAATTTTTGTCAAAAATACATTTATGAATACAAAGTATAAAACAAAGAAGTTGTACTGTCTCTCATTCTAAAAGAGTGTCTCATAATGATGAATCCAAAATGACAAATAAAGGATACTTTCCTTTTTGCTGAAAGAGAATAATTTTTATTTGTTAAATTGCAAATATATTTCTTAATGAAGAAAAATTAGTGGTTATTTAGCCAGTGATCTCTATCTCTGTCTGTCTGTCTCTCTCTTTCTCTCTCTCACACACACACATACAGTGGACAGTTTCAGTTTGCAATGATCTTTGTCTCAAATCTTTTCAGGAAAGATAGCCCCTTCGGAGCTGAAGGTCAGGAAAAGCCTGAGATTTATGGACTTGGAAGTGTTGTGTTTCCCAGGACTTAGAATGACTTCAGCACTGAGAGCAGCTGAAGGGGTTAACTTGGGGACTTGGCTGGCTGTCAGCTAAACTTTTCCCTGGCTCTGCCCTGGGTTTCCCCTTGAAGGGATTTCCCTCCGCCTCTCCAGCAGGACGGACCCTTTATAAAAAGAGCAGACTTTCTATTTCACTCACACCAGCCTGGCTGGCTTTGGGAGCTGAACACTTTTCCCAGACACTTTCACGTGGGGCACAAAGAAGGCTTTGAAGCTTCTATTTCTTAAGCACAGCAGCGACTCAAAATGCCTGAGAAGATGGTCACGATCTTTGGAGTCTCAACCGTACTTGGGATACTGTTTGCAGCCTGTAAGTTCCTGACCTTTTTCACATGTCCATAGCTTTTGGTGTGCTATAGAGTTTTGCTATAAAAGCAAATATTTTCACAGAAATGCAGAGACTTTTTGATACCCTTTTCCAATGTTAAGTGAGTAATTTGGATTATATCAGTAGTAAGTTTATCTCTTTAGTTTCCTGTACTTGGCAATGAAGTCAAACTTAGAAAATGACAAACTAGCTTTGCGCAATGGTCTTCAAGGTCGGAGCTGAGCGTTCTTCTTCATGGCGAGGATTCGAGTTTCTTCCTCAACAGCAACTTCAAGGCTTTGGGACTGTCTTGCTATCGGTCTGAGACAGTTTAAAAAGTAGATCGCCCAGGATGTGTTTTGTGCAAGAGAGAAAGGACACAGCATGAGACAGACCAGGGTAAAACTTGCTTTTTCTCTCTCTTGCTTTTTCAGCTCAAGCCTTTAAAGTCGAGATCTCTCCTGAATACAGAACGATTGCTCAGCTTGGAGACTCCATGTCCCTGACTTGCAGCACCACAGGCTGTGAGTCCCCATCTTTCTCTTGGAGAACCCAGATAGACAGTCCGCTAAATGGGAAGGTGCGGACTGAGGGAACCAAGTCCATCCTGACCATGGATCCTGTCAGTTTTGAGAATGAGCACTCGTACCTGTGTACAGCAGCATGTGGCTCCGAGAAACTGGAGAGAGGAATCCAGGTGGATATCTACTGTGAGTGCCCGAAAGAGGTTCTGTTTTTTCTCTCTTTTGGTTGAAAAAAAGTCAATGCTGTATTTAATAAAAACTTTTAAAGAGAATCTAGATTTTTAGCTCGAGAACACATTTCAATAAAGCCAGGGATAGAGGAAGCTAGCTGAGACCAGGAACCCAAATTTTAACTTCTGGTCCTTGTTTTCATATACATACATACATATATATGTATGTATATATATGTATATATAATGTGAACCTCTCAAAGGTTTTATTAGGTTTCTTTCTCTCTAATCTTCTATCTGGTTGTATTTCATGTTCACTTGTTCATATACCTAAAGGAATGATGAGTTCTCTCTTTCTGGAATTTTTTCCATTCACTTATTCTTGTGCAAGTTGGTGCTTAAGATCTGCTTGCAGATTAAGGAGCTCTGTAAGTATACAAACCTTCTCGATAGACGTAATCAAAACATCTATTAACATTTCACTCTTTCAACACTGATAAATTCAAGAGTTTTTGTTGTTGATGCCATGAAGCCTTGATTTCAAAGCTCAAAGGAGTTTTTGTCTAATAAAGTAGATTTGTCTCAGGAATATGCACAGCTACCCATATTGCACCAGCCTACCCCAAAATGCATCCTACCCCCATCTTCAACTCAGCAAACAGAGCTACCAAGGAGAGTGGGGGATAAATGAGCCCTATAGAAATCATTTGAAATCATTGGTTACTAATGCTATCTCTTTCAAAAAAACAATTGTACTCACATAAAACATTTCTTCATAGCACCTCATTTGAGTCATCTTCTAAGCACCTCAGTTCCTTCCTACTGTGCTCAATTAATCGACTTTGCCGATTAACTTTAATTGAAATTTCAACAAACCCTTTGTGTAGCTAGGCTTCCCAGGCAGCTGAGCCTGACCGGCTGCTTTCAATTATGCTGGCTGTGTATGCATAGTTTATGTCTAGGCAGCCTCCCGAGCTCTTTGGAAGGCCCTGTTATATAAATATCAGGAAAGAGTAGCAAGTTCTTATATTACCTGTCGTAAAATTGTGTGGATTCTAGGCACATTTCCTGAAGACTGTGACAGGCATAAATAACGGGAGGGGAAATTTAAAATGCTAGGTTTTTAGATAATAAGGCATTTCCAGTTCCTCTGCCTCTTGCCCACAAGTACTGTACAGTTAGAGAGTTAAAAAAGAGAAGTGAGGACCATTCTGGATTTAATTATGTCGCCTGTTTTCTTTCTCCCCTCTACAAGATGCAAGAGTGTCTGTTTCTCACTGTTCTTAGCAGTTAACTCTCTAGTCCACATTTGTTGTAATACTCTGTGGAGCTCGGACAGCAACGAGCTGCCATCATGACAGATGTAATGAGAAGGATAAACCTTGTGAAAGGGGCTGCAACACAGTGTGCTCCCCTGTATTGGCAGGCTCGGCAGAGTGCTGGTTAGAACACGACCCAGGCTTTTGGGGGAATGGATCCAGTATGGAGAGACTGCAAAAGAATGCCTTCCTGGTGGATGGATCCTTGCCAGAGGTCTCCTTTTCAGAAGCCAGCCCTTTAAAGTCATTCTCCATATTTCTAGGCGGTTATAGATGTAATCCTCCTTTGTGATGCCATTTCTGAGCGCTGGGCTTCTCGTCTGGAATGTAGAGCGGTATCTGCACTACCGTACGAGAACGGGGTGCGATATGGCACTGGAATCATAGTGCAGAGGGACAGCACACATGAGCTTTGCTCCTAGCCTGTGCTGGCTGTGTGACCAAGGTTGGTTCTGCAACCACACTATGTCTCAGTTTCCTTTTCTGTGACATGTGGTCTCTATCACCCAGGGTAACAGTAAAAAGAAAAAAAGAAAAAAGAAAGAAAGGAAACTCCTTTATGTTACATCTATAGATGAGTTCCAATAGATATTAGGCTTTTCTTTCTTCTTTTCTTCACAGGATTAAAACAGAAATGGCCTCTAAAACGTGGTTAATTCGAATACTTGCTTCCTGAGTCTACCACAAACCATGACTAGCTACATAAACAATTAGTTATGCTGAATTAAGCCTAGTGTTAACAAAAACATTTGTTTTGACTTGTATTGTGTTAAGACAGTCAGAGAAGTTATCAACAGGAGCCAAAAAGTCTACTTGTGCATTCATTTGTCTTTGCAGCATTCCCTAAAGATCCAGAGATTCAACTGAGTGGCCCGCTGGAAGTTGGGAAGCCTGCCACGGTCAAGTGTTTGGCTCCTGATGTTTACCCATTTGACAGGCTGGAGATGGAGCTATTGAAAGGTGACCACCTCATGAAGACTCAGGAGTTTCTAGAAGACATGGAGAAGAAGTCTCTGGAAACCAAGAGTTTGGAAGTGACCTTTACTCCTGTCATTGAGGATACTGGAAAAGTTCTTGTTTGCCGAGCTAAATTACACATTGACCAAATTGATTCTGTACCCAAAGAAAGGGAGACTGTCAAAGAAGTGCAAGTCTACAGTAAGTACTCACAGGGCAAGCTCTGCTCTATGGGAATTTAGTCTTGGATATGGATTGTTTTATTTATTGTTACAATAAACATATCAAGTAGTACACAAGGAATGTGTAGTTTTACTACATTGTTTATCCAGGGTATGATATTGTAAAAGGTATTGTTAAAAAAATAGGATACTGGCTTGGGTTTAGAGTACTTAGTGTCATGTTTCCCTGTTAGCTGAATGACCTTAAGGTTGTTTAATTCCTCTACTTTCTCGTCTGTCAAGGAGGGATCATCATCATATTACCTGCTTGAACAGTATAAAATGGCTTAAGCGATAAAATGCTTTATAAATGCTTACATTAATCCTTGAAACATTGGTTTCACAGATTTAGAAAAATTGACAAGATCTGTGTGTGTGTTTGTGTGTGTACATGACTGTGCTCACACGTACACACGTGCGATAGGTGAGAAGGTGTTAGGGTTTGTCTTCTAGCTCTTGGAGACTTCTGGCTGATGTGAAGCCTTCTTATATTAGAATTGTGTCTAATGGAACTCATTGTACTCTGTTAAAACTGAAATATTATGTTCCACTCTGAGCACTGTATTTAAGAGTCAGTGTCAAGGACAATATATTTACCCAAAGCATGATGAAATTTTTAAGAAAAGCTTTTAAAAGCCTTTTGAGAAACCAATCATGATAAAGAATATTTCTCTTTATAGAATACAACATTTTGAAAGAGAGGCATAGTTAAGTCATTAAAAGGCAGCTGCACAAGAAAGAACAGTTCCATTTCTCTGGAAGATCAGAGTGCTGGACTATGGCCACTGTATAAACGCTAGTTGCTTCCGGGAAATTTTCAGCTCAGTAAGAGAATTTTTCAATAATTAATATTTAAAAGCCAACCTGATGGACCCAGGTAGGTTGATTCCCCCAGTTAGTGCTGAAGCTGACCTGGATGTGCTTCTGGCAAGTTTCTCCACAGGACTCTAGTGCTCAGCAAAAGGCAGAAACACAAAACTTTAAGGGCTTCTCTTAATATCTGTGTATCTGTGGCTCCCTGAAAACATCAAATATCAAAAAACTGTAATTTATTGGTTAGAAAGTAGACTGACTGAATTTTTTTTTTTTTTTTTTTTTTTTTTTTTTTTTTACGATTTGGTGATTCTTGACTCCAACTTGGCAGAGCAGTTTTACCAACTTTGTGGAGGACCATAAGTGCCGTCTACAAGAGAAATAAATCTCCCCATTGGCTGGAGGTGATACTTAAAGTGGACTCTTATTATCTTCTGCCTTTTCAGCCTCCCCAGCGAATACGGTCATCTCCGTACATCCCTCCACTAGGCTTCAAGAGGGCGATGCTGTGACAATGACATGTTCCAGCGAGGGTCTACCAGCTCCTGAGATTTTCTGGCTCAAGAAATTAGAGAATGGAATTCTACAGCCGCTCTCAGGCAATGCAACCCTCACCTTAATTGCTATGAGGATGGAAGATTCAGGAATTTATGTATGTGAAGCGGTTAATCTGATTAGGAGAGACAAAGCAGAGGTGGAATTGATTGTTCAAGGTGAGTGGATTGTGACGAGGTGCCATTGTTGAGAGTTGGGCAATAGTGACACAATGCTAATGTTGAAATTCCTTCCTTAAATTTGCTTGGTGGCCCATCTGGCAGTCATGTGCTTCAGCGTGTATACATACATACATACATACATACATATATTCCTTTCTCCCAGCACCTCCACACTTTATCAGCTCATGTCCTTTATTAGCTCATGTCATTTCACGGTTGTCCCGTTTCATGGCTTGTTCTTTCTCCTGCCTTGTGGAAGTTGGCATTCTCATGTTACTTCACTTGGTCTTCATATACACTCCATATACCCGGGAACTGCACTGCTACATACATGTTATTACTGGATGTATGTTCCCATTCCGAATTACCTGATCATGACCCTTCTACTTCAAAATGACTCCCTACGATCCCTATGGCTGAGATTTTGAGCCAACTCTCTTGCCGTTGCCTTGGTATGTAATTTCCCATTTGGGATTTTGCAAGATCTTCTTAAATAGCAGCATTTCCCAAATATCAGCTGTACTTCTGGCCCTTTGTATAAGCTATCTACGGTCTTCAAGAACTAAAGTAGGAGTATTTTCTTTCCATTTTACAGATGGGAGGATGAAGTCTCAGATTAATAATGGCATCAGTTGGAGTATGAGTCTCTGGGAAGTTCCCTGTGTTCAAATTATCTTGTTCTGTTGCTCTGCTTGTGGAGTTCCCGTCCCCTCCAGCTCTTACTATAATCTGATTGGCCTGCTCTTTGATCACCTCCCCCTGAGGGGGGAGCAGCCTTACCAGGCCACAGTAGAGGACAATGCAGCCACTTTTGATGAGAACTGATAGACTAAGATCAGAAAGGAGAGGAGAACCTCCCCTATCAGTAGACTTGGGGAGGGGCATGCATGCAGAAAGGGGAGGGAGGGTGGGATCGGGAGGGGAGGAGGGAGGGGCTTATGGGGGGGATACAAAATGAATAAAGTGTAATTAATAAAAAAATGCAACTTAACACCAAATAATAATAATAATAATGGCATCAGTTAACTGTACACTTAATGCTTGCCTAGAGTTCTGCATTCTATTTCATGTTTTCTTGGTCTTTACCATGTTCTGGGAGGTAGCCAGAAAACGCAGATGCAATGTATCTCATCATTTTCATAGAGCCAGATAGCTTTTAGTTGCATTCATAGGCTCTTTTTAATTAAAAAACAAACAAACAAACATGCTCTTCCAATTGTAGCTAATTTTTCTCTATTTTTAAATTAATTTAAAATAATTGGCCAGCAAAAAGTATATGCATATTATATAATGTGGAATGACTAAGTCAAAATATATACTTTAGTACGAGCACAAAAAAATGTGTGGCTTTGAATATGTCTGTTCACTAAACTGAAAGCTTCTTAGACTCAGGAGTAAGGTGCTCCCTGTGTTTGTGTATGGGCCTTTGAATGGATTAATAACTGTACCTGACAAATAATAATAATAATAATAATAATAATAATAATAATAATAATAATAAGTGCTTAGTAAACACTAGCTGAATAAAAACATACAATGTAAACATGGAGAACACATTTTTATAATCCATGAAAACATGGACTTTAAGTTTAGACGGCTAAGAAAGTAGAATTCAAAGATCACTACTTGATTAACTCAGGTGGGTTACTATTCTCAAATGGTCAAAGAGGACATTATATGGCTAAAAGTGTGGATCTGGATTGTTGTCTGTCCTAGAATACCTGCATCCCGTAACGTTGGGCCCTGTTTCAAATGGGCAAAAGAAATGTATTCCAGGCTTGGGAACGGGGGTGCTTTATATAATGTCATGTGAGCTAGTAACAACCTTAAGTGCTGAAGTTAGAAGGGCCCTTCAGCTACTCTGTTTGCAGGCAGGAAGTGAATCTCCTCCTGAGTTCCTCATTCTCACACCAGCATGGACAGAACTTGGCCAGCTTCAGTTACTGTTCTGAATAATTTTTTTTTAAAAAAATATAATATGCATTGGGGGAGAATTTTCTTTGGAAAAAATACTACAATGCTACTGTTACACAGAAAAGCAATTTTTCTTGGTACAGAAAAGAACAATGCAAAATGGAGGATTGTGTGCTGAGATTTCCTCCTGTCTCCAGCCTGCAAGAACACTCTAGTAATTTTCTTTGGGGATCCATATACCAAACTGCAGAGTTTCTCAACTACCCCCAGGGTTTTCAGAGGAACAGAATCAAGATTTAGAATTCTTTATCTCAAAATATGTCATCTCATCCACACCTCTGTAGCTGGTGGCTGGAGAACATTTTGGACACTTGAGTTTTTCCTGATCATTCAGCTTTCTACCCTAAATGGGTACAAAGTATTTTGATAATACATCAAACATACTTAATGTAAACTTAATGTCATCTTTATTTTGCTTTTAGTGTGACTCTCAAAGACACTACTCTATATTGGAATTCCAATCCTTAGATATATATGAATGGTTTTTTTTTAAGGATACTGAATTTACTTAGAGTATATTTTGGTGCAATTTTCCCTGTAACTCTTTTAGATTTAAGTTTATCCTTACATGAGGATAAACTTGTCTAGGAACAGAAAAGTTAGAATCTCAAGCCAGACCTATCTCACATCAAATTTCAGTTGTTCCACCTTGCAAATTTAGCTTAAGCCTAAATGTCTTAAAGAAGAAATAGGATAGGAGCTAGGAGAAGAGAAGGTGAGGACACAGGAGAATGAGGAAGTAGAAAAGAAATCATAGTACCAGCTAATGAAATTGTTCAGGGAATTAAGTGAGACAAGGCACGCACATAAAGCAGAAAGCATGATGCTTGACACACAGAAACCACTGGATGACTTGAGGTCCTGCACCCTCACAGTGAGTCAATTGACTACACAGAGCAGAGATTGGGTCGTTTCCCCAAAAAGATGTCTCCAGCACCACATTCTTGACAAGTTGTTATCTACACTTACTCTGATTGCCTGACTCAACGGAGCAGCATGAGTCCGTTCTTAAAAGATGTGGCCTTATTCCTGACAGCTTCCCAATTGAAAGGAGTAATTTCTTCTTGGCACAGATAGCAGCTGAACAGAGATCAAGAAAGATAAACATTGAATATGGAAATATGATGTAATAATAAAAGAATCTTATCTGTTATTCATCTTGTTCTTTCTTTTCTTTTTCCCCCCTCCTCTTCCCTTTTCAGAGAAGCCATTTACTGTTGACATCTCCCCTGGACCCCGGGTTGCTGCACAGATTGGGGACTCGGTTGTCCTGACATGTGCTGTTGTTGGCTGTGACTCCCCTTCTTTTTCTTGGAGAACCCAGATAGACAGCCCCCTCAATGGGGAGGTGAGGAGTGAGGGGGCCAAGTCCACACTGACACTGAGCTCTGTGAGTTTCGAGAATGAACACTCTTACCTGTGCACTGTGACCTGCGTGCGGAGGAAACTGGAAAGGGGAATCCAGGTGGAGGTCTACTGTAAGTGGAATTCAAAACTGGCAAACCTGATTTCCATCCTCTCCTCTCCTTCCTCTGGAAGAATAAGAATGTGAATCTGTAATGGTATCCGTTTATGGGAAGAGAGATTTGGCTTTGTAAATCATCCCTAGATCTCTGGACGTGGTTCAATGCATCACAGGTGGCTCAGCTCGCGCACACGGCTGGTCTTATTCTCTCCTCGTGTGCTTGACCATACTCGAGGTTCTGCTTCTCTTTCCTTCCGCATGTCCATAGGGTATATGGAGGTGGTGAGTGAGAGTAGATGGGGTTGGGGAGGGATGGGAGCTGTGCCCATTCAGATAGCTACTAAGTGAGTAGTGACTGCCTCATTATACAAATTGTGAGCGAGTCTCAAGCCTGACTTTTGATTTATTTCATTCTGTTTTGAGACGTTAGGGATGGAATCCAGAGCTTTGCACGTGCATAGCTTTGTTTTGTTTCCTTGCTTTTACTGATCACTTAAAAAGTCTTTATTCTTCTGCCATCTTTGAGAGATAGGTTTGCTGTGTGTAGTATTCATTGTTTTTAAATAATGGATCACTGTGCTTTGCTCATCTCACCTTCCTGTGACTCTGTCTTATCTGCCCCCATCTCCCTTTCTTTTCCCAAATAGTCATGCTTCTGATTAGAGGTAGCATGTTTGTATTGCATGTAAATAATACATTTAAAATAATATATTATACATTACTATGTATAGTAGTTATATTTCATATAGCATATATAATATAGTATTTAAAATAAGAATATAACATTTTAGATACTATTCTGACTTTTTTCATTAAAGAAGAAATAATGGAAGGCCTATGGGGCTAAGGGGCAGATGGCAGGTGAAAGGGAGAAATGCAGGAAGACGCCTACTGTGTTAAGGCAGATTGAAAAGCGGATCTGCAGGATTCAGACAGGAACAATGGGGAACAGGAGAGTGCCAGAAATGAAGGCAGGTTTTACTCAGTCTGAGTGTGGGGCGGTCTGCAGCAGAATCAATCATCAATAGCAGCTATACAGTTGATTTACACTGTGAACAAATGGCACACACATTCTTGTCCCCTCCTTTTATAAATTACTTTAATAAAAACACTTTCCAAGCCCCAGTATCCATGAATTTCACATTCACATTACTGGAACCCCTCAGTCTACTCTGAATGAACAATAAACCTTCCAGTGACCACATGACTGTTATTTTCTGGGGAGGGTAGGGCCGCCCTGTTTTATTCACTCAACTCCAGAGAACATACTGTAAGGATTTTCCATCTAAAGCCCTGTCCAAACTTACGTTAATCTTCAGGATTTTTTTTTTTTTCAGAAAAAGAGAGGGCCTGTTAAGAGATGGGAGGTTAAACTTTAGTGTTTCATCGTGTTTCCCAGAGTCCAGGATCTGTTGGTGTAGCCACATTCCCAACAGAAATGGGAACAGTGTGATAGCTTACTGCAATGTGGACATGTTTGAAAATCTATAATTTTAACAAAGTTTTCCTTAAGGACAAGTGTTTAGCTTCATTTGGGGGAGGGTTGTTTTGTTCTGTTATTAATTTTACCTTGATAATTATCTTAGTGTCATTTTTGTTAATTTACATAGCATGTATTGTGAATGTTATGTACATGAGAGAATACCTACTCAGATTCTAAGCAATATGGTTAGAACGGTTCATTTTCTTACTGATGCTTTGAGTTAACATACAAAGAAGTGCCTTCATCATGGCACCATCAGTCTGTGTCATTATGCTTTCTTCTCGTTCGTTCTCCTTTCCCATCACCCTCTCCAGGTCTGTCTCCTTTCTAATGGCTCCCCCTCCCATCCCCCAGACACTCCCTCTTTCTTCTTTCCTTTTGCATGTGTTCTGGTACCCCTTCTAATCCTCACAGCCTGTACAATTTCTTCCAATTCTCCCATGATCTTCTTTTTAGGTCTATGACCGGCAAGCACATCCATATCAATACATTCATGTATATAATTTAAATTTTAAATTTAGGTTTCACATATGTGAGAAAACATACAGTTTTAAGTTCTTTTCTTTGTTTATTTTGATGGAACTCACTCTGTCAAACAGACTGGCCTTGAACTCAAAGATCTTTCTCTGACTCCCATAATGCTTATACTACCACACTGGGCTGGCAGTTCATTTCTCAATTACAAGAATTACCTGATCTGGAGGCAGAGGTAGGCAGATCCCTGTGAGTTTGAGGGTAGTCTAATCTAAACAGAAAGTTCCAGGTCAGCCAAGCCGAAAAAGAAAGATTCTGTCTTAAAAACAAAGTGTAAAAAATTCTCAAAAGTATTTAAAACTTACTGCCTAAATTTATTCATAAAATAAACCAAATTTTGATAAACTAACCAAATGGAGAACTGTAGTGTGAGTCTCATTTGATACTGGAAAAACTATGTACTCAAGACTCATAGAGGCAGACTCTGTCTAGGTGTGTATAGTGTGAAAAGTCTCATTTGTCCATGTTAGTTCCTTTTTCTAGCTATAAGTTAAGTTAAATGATAATCATTTTATCAGACTGCTCAGAAGAAGGAGATAATGAAGGCTGATGGTATTAGCTTATATTTGTTAATTACTATATCATGACAAATATTTAAAACATTAAAGTTATATAGTTAATTGATAAGATGGCAGAAGCCTTTGTGCCCTTAGAAAAGAACAGGCAAGATGGCATCATTAGGAGAGAAAAATAAGGAGCAAATGCATTTATTACTCATTGACTTAAAATACTAGATATTTTGTTTCATTATTTATAATTAATATTGTAATTGTGTCGTTATACTTAACGGTATTACTTATGACTTGGACCTGAGACCACACTGTTCCCAGCTGATCAAAAGCTGTCACTTTGAGACTTTTGCATTTCATAGAGTCTGGCTCAACTTTCCCTTGAATATCACATATAACTATTATTTTTGCTTGATGCCTGCAGCATTCCCGGAAGACCCGGAAATTGAGATGAGTGGGCCCCTTGTGCACGGGAGCCCCGTCGTTGTTAACTGCACAGTCCCGAACGTGTACCCTTTTGACCATCTGGAGATTGAATTACTGAAGGGGGAGACTACGCTGATGAACAAAGATTTTTCGGAGGAAATGGGCATGAAATCCCTAGAGACCAAAAGTTTGGAAATGACCTTCATCCCCACCATGGAAGATACTGGGAAAGCTCTTGTTTGCCTGGCTAAATTACACAGTGGCGAAACGGAATCTGAACCCAAACAAAGGCAGAGTACACAGACTCTTTATGTCAATGGTAAGAGCACGTGTGGAGCAGCTACAACTGAATATGGATTTCTCTGTTATGTTTGCCAGGGAGTAGTTAGAAGGTTAACGTTTGAAACCCCTGTGAAGAAAACGGAAAAAAAAATCTAGATAATAGTGATTATAGCAAACCATTCTTCATAACATAAAACAAACTATTATTTATGTATGATCCTATGCATTGACATTCAAGAATGGGCCAGCCAGGCAGCTACTCAGCCCTGATGAGGTTCAGTAGAGCGCAATCAGGCATCTTCAGGCAGGCCAGCAGCTGGCTTGTCATGGGTAGCTTCACTGAAGGTGTCTGAGCCTTATGAGTGTGGTTCCACTGATCATTTCTTAGTGTGATATCATCCTCAGGGAAGGTAGCCAGAACAGAGCTGAGAAAGGTGGTGATGAAAGTCACCTCATAAAACTTCTGTCAGGGACATCTTTCCACCCATCTCACTTCATACACATCCTACTGTCCAAATGATCAACCCAGGTTCAAGGGGTAGTAAAAGGGTTTTTCTTATTCACAATGGATATTACAATGCATCCTGCTTAGGCAATACATACCATTGTGTGTGTGTGTGTGTGTGTTTTTCCACACTTTTCTCTTTTCTCCCTTAGAAAGAGTCAGTTCCATCTTGTTCTGGTTCTTCTTCATTGGGTCACACAAAGGCTTCGAATCCCCATCTTGCCCAAACATTATGCTATACTTGATTTTCTATGCTTTGACATCAAGAGAGTTCTACAGAACTTTTTACCATTTGAAAATATTCACATTTTCTTTGCATCCTAACTCCCATTGGATCTTCTCCACAGAAACTTTCTGGGCTGGTTATCACAGTTTATAAACTATACTAACCCAGAGTCAATTGCCTAGTTTTACAACATTGACTAAACTCTTTGGAATTCAGGGCATAAGTGGGTCAAGCTAAGTGTCCTTTTTTCTTTCTTTCTTTTTTCAGTTGCCCCCAGCAAAACCACCATCTGGGTCAGCCCCTCTCCTGTCCTAGAGGAAGGCAGTCCCGTGAACTTGACCTGTTCAAGCGATGGTATTCCAGCTCCAAAAATCCTGTGGAGCAGACAGCTAAATAATGGGGAAATGAAGCCTCTTTCTGAAGATACTACACTCACCTTAATGTCTACAAAAATGGAAGATTCTGGCATCTACGTGTGTGAAGGGATTAACCAGGCTGGAATCAGCAAAAAGTCAGTTGAACTGATTATCCAAGGTGAGCAGGGTATGTCTGTTAATCTATGGCTAGTTTATTTCCTATGGAATTACTGATGGCAGACAAGGTCCTCTTTGAAAAGAAAGCCTTTGGGGCCAGAGAGATGGCTCAACAGTAAGGAGTGCTAATTGCTCTTACAGGTGACTTAGGTCTTAGGTCGTGTTCCTGGCACTCACGTCGGGAGGCTCAGAACTGCCTGTAACTCCATACTCTGTCCTTGCCTCCATGGGCACTGCACTCACACACACACAGAACTCACATAGACACATACAAATACGAGTAGCTTAAAAATAAAGATAAACCTTAAAAAGAGAGAAAAGGAAAACCTTTACTTCAAAACTTCAATTATATTCTAAAAATACTTTTAAAAAATAAATAAATTTAAAAAGCAGTTCCACACTGTGCCTGGGATGGATTTTTATTCAAGGCCAAATCAATTGCCCTAAAATCCCAGTCACCTCAAGTGAAATGCACGCTCCAGAAACTAAGCTAGAAGTTCAGGAACACAGAGAGCATGGTTTTGATGAAGAAACAAAGGTCGGAAATGATTTAGGATTAAAACCATCACTGAACAGGGCTGAACAGGACCCTGAGAAGCAACTTCCAAGAAGCTACTCAGGATTTGTTTAGATGCTCAAGAGGGTACCTTTGGTAAACTCTGAGATTAAAGGTTACAGTGATTGTGCCCTCTGGCCTCTCAGCCTGCCGATATGGAACCACTGGGGTGAATATAGAGGTAGGTCTCACTTCTAGAGGATGAAGGAGCCAAGATTGAGAATACAACAATTTCTGCTTGGCACATTGAAGCCATAGGCTCTCATGGGCAAAATTATGAAGCAATCAACGTTCATTGCCCCAAAAGATTTTTCTCTGGGAGGACTGGGGTCACCCTCTTGTGTATCTCTTGCTATAATTATTGTTAAGATATATGCTGGGCATTGTTGTCGCCGCCTCATTTCACCGAGGTCTGTAATTCAAATTAATTAAAAAAAAAAAAAAAAAAAGAACCTGGGGAGGGTATCACATAATCTCAAAGAAAACCATCAGGAGAGCCTGAAGTCAGCTTGGGTGACACAGTGTGACCATCTAAGAGAAAAGGAAACCCGAGGATGGATATCATGGCCCTGTGGCCTTGGAGGAGCATCAAAGTTGACAAAATATATGGTCTTAAGCAAGTGTTTCTAAAACAGACTTTCGGTGTTTCCCTCTAAAACTTGTTGTTCTGACTCAGATAAGATCAGCAAGACCTTGAGACTTGATAATTGGTAACTATGCTCTTAACAACAGTAAACGTCTTAATTTCCTGGTCAGGAAGCACCTAGCTCAAAAGGCTTTTGCACTTCAAGGAAAATTTTGGTGGGCAATGTGATTTTTAAAAAGTAAAGATTTTTTTCCCATATTTGAATTCTACAGCTACTTATTAAATATCTAATGTTTGTCTTTGGCTGGGTGTAAAAAATTTATATTAAGAATGGGGGGGGGAAAGTCTGAGATGTGTCTTCTCTAGCTTGGAATATGATCATTTAGAACTGGGCAAACGCCCCACTTCTTTGCCTGCTTTTCCTTACAGCTCATGCAGAAAGCATCACAAATAGCTTGGCAGAGACAGCCAATGTCCTCAGTCTGTGTGGGATTGCTGTCCCCTTGCCCCCCACTAACTGTCCCTTCTCTCCTCAGTCTCTCCAAAAGACATACAGCTCACAGCCTTTCCTTCTGAGAGCGTCAAAGAGGGAGACACTGTCATTATCTCCTGCACTTGCGGAAACGTGCCCGAAACATGGATAATCCTGAAAAAAAAAGCAAAGACAGGAGACTTGGTGTTAGAAGCGGTTGATGGCTCATACACCATCCGAAAGGCACAGCTGCAGGACGCTGGAGTGTACGAGTGTGAATCTAAAACTGAAGTTGGTTCACAACTAAGAAGTTTAACACTTGATGTGAAAGGTTAGCTTTCTTGGTTTGCTTTTTTTTTTTTTTTAATTATTCAAAGTTTCCAAGGAGAATAGCAAGTTTCTAGTATTAGACTATTAGACGAAGTTGGCAAAAATGAGACTGAATTCTGGGCGGAGCGACTGTTTCTTAATGTTTCTTGAAATAATCAGGCACAGCTGTTCCATCCTATAGCATTTAGCCAGGAAGTGGACATTAATCATCGGTGAATGTGGAATTCACATTTGTTATTTTTTTTTCAAAGTTGCCAATTCATCATTGGTCTCTGAGGTTTTGGATTTGCTAAGTGTTTAGCCATATATTTTTCAACCTTTCCCCTAGTGTAAAAGGAAACTAAGGAATTGGGAGGCAGGGTAGAAAAACAACCCTCCACAGACTTTGCTCCCCACTGCAAAGAAGCTCTGCTTTTCAGAGTACAGAATGACTGCATATTTTCTGCATGGCTCTTTTGTGAGGATGCTAATTGGGGATAGTGGCCTGGATCCAAAGCACGATTTCTAGATTTCACAAGAGCTTCCTTTGAAATCCATGCCCCAATTGTCTGACTTTAACCTGATGAAGAAGGAAAGAGTGATGGCTCCATCAGAGACATATAGGCACTCCTCAATTTCCTTTTCTACCTTGTGAGTGCCTGCTAATTTTATTGATGCTAGCCTTGACTAATAAGCCTTGGATCCTTTGCATGGCAAAGAGCTGTTGTATGTTGAAATCCAGGCTGGTAGAGTAGACAACATGCTAATGAATGCCAACTCTGAAGAGGTCTGGCATTAACTATGAGAGCTAACTACTCACATGTCGGTTTAGAGAAAATCTAAACCCAAGTACAAACACAGATAAAATTTTTACTAACCAAGTTCCTCAAGATTAAAAACCTTAACATACATATTTTTTATTTCTTTATAGCACCTCTTCATTTCAGAGGACTATAAATATATCCACTTAGAAATATTAAAGAAGGATAAATTATCTTAATTACATGTCAAACTTCTAGTCACCCACTTGTGATGAAAATGGCGGAGAAAACAATCCTATGTATTCAAAGAATGGGACACTGTGTTGGACCATATCACTGGGCATGACACGGTGTGTGTAGCTCTTGCCTTCAGAAGTAGACCGAGATCTCAGTTATGAGTGGCTGAGCTGTATCTTCCTCTGGCTAGCTCTAACTTCGCCTAGCCCCAGGAAATTACACTCCTAAGATTTCTGTCATCCTGTGTGTGCACAGCTGTTTCTCTTCAAGACCCTGAAAGCCGCTTCTTCCATTTATAACTTTCTCTTTTACACATTGTCTTCTCTAATTGCTTAATTAATTTCTTAATGTATTTGCCACTTTTAATTTACCCTTTAAACAAACAATGAAAGCATGTTAGTCACCCAGGCAGACATTCATGCTACCAGTATGTAAATGATTTCAAATAGCTGCATATGAATAGAGATCAAACATTGACCTGTTTTGTTTTTGTTTTTTTTTCCCCCCACTGGATAATTTGAATGGGTTTTTCTTTCTTTTTAGTTGAGAATTATTATTTATTTTGCCTTTTTTGGTTTTGGCTTAAATGCATTCCATTAATATAAATGATCAGGAATCTTTAAGACTTTCAAGGTTTATAGACTCAATAAAAAATGTGTTAGAATATTGTCCTAGCAACTGGCTCAATTTTGAGTTTTCAAGAGATGTCTGATGAAAAAAAACTGAAAGGCAAAGATGATAATTTAATTGAAAAGAAAGCAATAACAAAAATACTTCGGCTTAGATTGTCATCAATATTGATGCCTAACCACAATTATGATGAGTAGCTCATTAAATCAATTATGATGAGTAGCCCATTAGAGCAATTCTACCAAAGGAAAACAGAAAAATGAATCCATCATGGAATTTAGGGTGAAGCATCATTTTATCCTTTAGTAACTCACTCGTTTGATACTAATGAGTCTTTTCTACTTGAGTGTTTTGAAAGCTCTAAAAGGAATTGTCATTTTCAGCACTATATTTATGACTATGTGGCAATATGGTAGGATTTAGAAAGAAAAAATTTATTAGTAGTCAATATTTTGTTGCTATCCAGAATGCCAAGCAGTGTCTTAAGTGCTTGCTAGCTGTGAAGCATCTCATACAAACACAACTATCTCTATAGAGTCTTCAGTCAAGAGAGGAAAACAGATTTAACAGATGAATGCATGGTCAAACGTTGAATTGCAAGCTGTTAGGGGATATGAAAGTTTGGTGGTTGGGTTTTAAGGGAATGTTGGAGTATCAATTCTGATCACAGGAAATGATCAGAGAATGCACTCTCTGAGTAACTAAGACTTCTCCTTAAATGAAATGTCTGAAGAGCATCAGTAAATCAAGAAAGCATATCACTGCTGGAAGGGATTACTCATATAAAGATGCTTTTGCTTCAGACAAAGGAACACAGCATATAAAACACATGCCAGCCAGCCGTTGACAAGAATGCTCTATCTCTTACTTAATGGCCATACTCTGAGTGTTGGAAAGATTGTCTTAGAGAACTGTTAGATGTTTCAGTTCATACCAGTCAGAGTCACGGGGCTTTACTAGATATTTCTGATTCCTGCTCTTATAAAACAGATCACCAAAATGTGTGCTTTCTCCCTTCCATTTTTCACTGAAAGCAATCTTTTAAAATCCAAGTTTTTTGAATCAATAACTGTCACCCTCATGAACCCATCATGAGCATAACAATCATGAGCTACTTATTTGGATTTTATTTTAAAAAATGTGTTATATGAGTCTCAATGGTCCTCAACCATAGCTTTTATCGTTCCTTCTTTGAAGAACTCATTGTACTGTTACAAATAAAACACAAAAAAGTTATTTCCATCTGTGCTAGACATTAATTATATCCATTTGGTTATTTTCCAGGAAGAGAAAATAACAAAAACTATTTTTCTCCTGAACTCCTTGCGCTCTACTGTGCATCCTCCTTGATAATACCTGCCATCGGGATGATCATTTACTTTGCAAGAAAAGCCAACATGAAAGGATCATACAGTCTGGTGGAAGCACAGAAATCAAAAGTGTAGCTGATGTCTGACATGTTCGAGAAAAAGACATTATTTATAAACCCCAGACTTTTAATACTCTTTATCATTCCACCTCTCCACTCCCCCAAACCAAGCTAAGCACTCAGACTTCCCAGAACCCTTCTCAGTAGAGAAGGAAAAAAAGTGGCTACTTGAGACCTTGCTGAATGCAAGAAGTCAACCAGAAATGTTCTGCGTGACAAGTCCCTATCATTGAAGTGACTGGAAAAGTCCCATGATGTGTATATAAATAGCATAGTCTGTATATATGTAAAATAAAATTATGCCATCTCAAGGCTTTTAGAATAGCAGCACTCCGTGTGCTGGTCAGAATGTAATCAGAAAGTGTTGCTTGGACTGACTGTTGGAGCTTAATGCATCTTAGGAAAGTTTAATATTAATATTAACGTTGACTAGGCAGCTGACCAGTGTCACCTTTTTATGCTTTATTTTCTTCAACCTAATTTTATTCCTATGAATTTTATTGACAGTGATTTCATGTTTTAAAAAGAAGCCAGGGTTTTATATTTTTATGGGCAAATGGTAAAAAGGTCACTGGGTTGACTTTCAGGTACTATATTCCTAATGATTAATAAGTTTTTTCTACATGGTACAGTATGGTACAGGGATGTGTTTCTTCACTGGGATCTTGTGTAATAACTAACATGCTTTAGAAGGCAACTTCTTTTGACTGATCTTTTATAAATAGAACAGTAAACTGAAATTTTCTGAACATGGAAGAGTTGTGCTTCGTTTGTAATAAATTGTCTCTTTTAATTATTATCTTGTTCTTCTGGAGTTGTCAGTTATACAAACTACCAACATAACACAGATGCTCAAAAAGTGTTCTTCAGACTACTCTTTATCAAAATCACCACGAGAATCTGATAAAAATCAACAGACTTATTCATATCATCTCAACTTAATGAATTAAGATCCGTAGTTTGTCATAGACAAGAGCCTAGCATAGTCATGACCGGAGATGCTTTATCTAGACTGATGGAAACAGATGCAGAGACCCACAGCCAAACATTAGGCAGGGCTTGGAAACCCTGCAGAAGAAGGGGAGGAAGGATTGAAGGAGCCAGAGGGGGCAAGGACACCACAAGAAAACCTACAGAGTCAAGTAACCTTGGCTCATAGAGGCTCAAAGAGACTGAACCAACAATCAAGGAGCCTTCGTGGATCTGACCTAGGCCCTTCGCATATATGTTATGGTGCTTGTCTTCTTGTGGTACTCCTAATAGTTCCTACTTTTGGGACCCTTTTCCTCCTACTGGTTTGCCTCATCCAGACTTAATATGAGGGAAAGTGCCTAGTTTTATTGCAACTTGATATGTCTTGTTTTATTGATAACCCTGGGAGGCTTTCCCTTTTCTGAAGGGAAATAGGAGGCTGAATAGATTGAGGAAGAGAGAAAATAGAGAGGAGAGACTGGGAGGGGAAGAGGAAGGGAAACTGCAGTTGGGATGTAATATATGAGAAAATAATAAATTACAAAAATTAAAGATCAGTAGTTTGGGGTTCTTACAGTCTGAAATAATTAAGCTAAAAAATAATATATCCACTATATAATATGTTCAAAACATTGGCAAAAAATGAACATTTGGTACATGCTACAAAGACTAAGAAACAAAATTCTATTATTTTCCAGGCCATCTTGTATGCCTAATACAGGTAGTAGCTCTCTTCCCACTGAGCCAGTAAGTCTTGAATTACAAGCTTGGTCATTTTCTTTCTCTGGACGTTTTGTAGCTATAAAAGTAATTCTAAGTAGTACATATGTTTGCTAGGTTTTAAACTGTATATAAGCAAAATTAAATTATATGTGTGATTTGTGACTTTATTCTTTTATTCAAACACTTTTTATTGCACAGCTCAACCATGCTGTCAAGCACAGTTATAGATCATTTGTTTTCGGTGTTCTCCAGAGTTTCACTCTGAGACTTCGTAATTTCTTATTCATCCCTCTTTTTATTAACAGGTATTTGCATCTTTTCTGATGTGAGAAGAAGTTCCTATAAACATAATTGTAATACGAGAACTTATGAACATTACCATGCTTTAAGGTTATATTTAGAAATATATGTATATATTTGTATACATATGTGCATGTCCTGGAACTCCTGAACAGAGGTAGCCTATGGCAGTTCGGTATCCAAGTGGCCTCCATAGTAATGGGGACAGGGACTACCTCTGACATAATCTGATTGACCTGCTCTTTGATCACCTCCCCCTGAGGGAGGAACAGCCTTACCAGGTCACAGAGGAAGACAATGCAGCCAGCCACTCCTGATGAGACCTGATAGGCTAGGATCAGAAGAAAGGGGAGTAGAACCTCCCTTTTCAGTGGACTGGGAGAGGGACACAGGGGAAGAGGGAGGGAGGTACAGGGGGGATACAAAGTGAATAAACTGTAATTAATAAAAAGAAAAAAGAAAAGGAAAAAAGAAAAAGAGAAAATAAATTTGAAAGAGAGCAAGGAGTATATGTGATGTTGGAGGGTGAAAACAGGAGGGAGAAATGATGTAATTATATGATAATCGTAAAAGTAAAAGAAAAATTAAAACCACACACACACAAAGATAAAATATTACTATTCTTTTAATGACTGGAGGATCTTCATGTATTCCCTGTACTTCTAACTTTGGTAACTTGTGTTTTCTTCTTCCTCGGATAGACAAGTTGAGGTCGATTCGTGCCACGGATCTTTGCAAAACATGACCTTTTTGTTCCCTCGATTTTTATCTGTTTTTGCTGCCTGTGCCACTGACCCTTGTGCATTTTTATGTTTCCCGCCCACCTGATTTCTTTAGATTGAATTTGTTATTCTCTTACTATATGATTTAGGGGAGACATTATTCAACAATTTGGAACTTTTCATACCTTTAATATAAATAGTTAATGGATAATTGTTCCACGTAATTAGCTACACAGGGCAAACTATAATGTGGTGTATTTCATATTTCATTCTCATTCAATTAAAATTATGTTCTAAATCCCTTTGTAATTCCTTCTTCAGAAAATAAGTTATTTAAAGGCAAGTCCCAAGTACCTGGGAACTTCTCATTCAGTTACCTCTCCTTTAATTATCTTTAGTTTAATTCTATTTTAGTCTCGGAACTTACCTTCTGATGAATAAAATATTAATTGTGTTTTCTAGCTATTGGGTAGATGATAGTATAAATACATTCAGGGCTAGTCATTTGCTTGACAGTTTTCAAGGCTTGTGTATTGCATTTATTCTTAGTCTGTACCTCCAGTCAATCAGACAGCATTCTGAATTATCCATTTATAATTATGATTTTGACCATTTCCCTTGTTTGAGCCCAAAGGAAAATAAAAGTCCATCAAAGTCGATATAATAGTGAGAGAGGTGAGGTCCAACCATATGGCAGACTCCGGATGAAAAACAGCAAGAGAAAGATCCTGCTATTATCAATAGTGACAGTCCTAAACTAGAAATTACCCAAAAATCCACCCGCAAGTAAGTGGCTAAATGCTGCATTTGTGCAGAGGAATACTACACAGCACCAGTAAGTAATGAACTATGAAAACCCAAGACAACATAAACAAATCTCCTTACTTCAATGAACCAAAGAAACCAGGCCAAAAAGAAAACACTAAAGAGTAGCATATGTCTGTTATAATGTGGTGGCTGTTTGTAATGTCTCTCATGTGCAAACCTAGCCCTCAAAAAGCAAAGGCGTAGGATGAGTTCAAGCTTCACTTGGACTATTGTTGTGAGTTCAAGGTCAGCCTGGGCTATCCAGTGAGTCCTTAGTAAGTGTGGGCTACTGTGTAATGAGCAGAGCACAGTACTTACATGAATTTTAAAGAATAAGAACACATCTATCGTGAATGAAGTTACACGTCAGCAATTGCTTTGGGACAGGATGGAAAGCATGGAAGCGGTAACTGCAACGGCCTATGAAGAAGCCTTAGGGGATGACATACATTAGTGATGTTAGTTTTGATGTTTTTTATAGATTTGTGAACTTTAAGTTGTGTAGGTTGTTGTGTATCAGGCCTTTTCTGATCTCTGCCACTGTGATAAAATTATCTGACCAAAAGCAATGTGAGGAGGAAAGGGTTTATTTGTTTTACACTTCCAGGTCATAATCCATCCATGTGGTCACTAAACTTTCTTGAAAAGGTAAGAGTCAGGACCCCTACCTAATGTATTAAGGAACTTCAGTGTTCTTGTTTGTGAAATTAAGGGCAGTTAAACTTTAAGTTTCTCTCCAACACTCAAGTATAACAATTCTATGAAAATGTACACATATGACATCAGCAACTTAAATTTCACTTTCTTAATTATTTATTGTATGTGGCAAGCACATGCCACAGAGTGCATAAGGAGGTCAGAGAACAGCATGACAGTCAGTTCTCTCCTTCCACTACGTGGAAATCAAACCCAGGTTATCAGGGTTCGTGACAAGTGCCTTTACCTGCCAAGCCGTCTAGCTGGTTCACAGTAACTTTTTTGCTACTTTATTTTAAATAATCTCTTTTTGTATTTCACTTTAACAAAGGCCTCTGTAGCTTGTTTTCTTCCTTGCTTAATCAGCTTTAACAGTCTTGAGAAGAAAAATAAAAGGCAGACAAGTTCCAAGACCAGTTTATAGTTTCTGCCGGGGTTTCATTATCACTGCTTTACCCTGCAAAGGAAGTGAGGCATTTGTAATGTCCTTTGAAATGGCACTTGCTTTAGTCACGGTGTTTGTGAGACCATCACTTCTGAAAGTTAAAATGCATGCAGTGTCCTGTGAGGCTTTGCGGTTCCTGAAGCGCAAGCTTGTAACGTGACTACTATGTAAGTCTTGCTTGAGGTGTGACAAATTAGGTTCTGGGCTCTTTAGGGCAATGCTATCAGCAGAGAGCATTTTATCATTTGCAGTGTTTTCTTTGTTGGCAGGGACTCGTAGAGGCATTGCGGACATCAGAACAAGTTGATTATGTAAATGAAAAGCACAGTTTTAATCTTGGAGCAGAAGAGAATAATGAAATGGCATTGACTTTGCGAGGTGACAAGAGATGCTGTGAATCACTCTTGAATTGAATTGTATTGTATTGTGGAAAATTTCAACAAACTTTCTCAACTGAAAGTTTCAATCTTGAAAAAAAAAAGTATTTTGAAAGTGTGTATAATTGAAAGTGTATAATTAAAGAATGTTATGACTACTTTTATTTAAACCAACTTGCATGCAATTAAAGCACACTTAATTACCTGGACATTGAATGCTGTCGCGCTGAAAACCCAACAAAGAGTGCTATTAAATATGAAACTTCAAGTGAGAGATAAAAAATAAACATTATTACTTTGGCTTGAGGCCACATATGCTGCTTAGGAGTTTACGAACACAGCTGCAAATCACTGAACAGCAGAGTAATGGGTAGCTTTTAAGAAATGTAGTATTGTGCAGTTCCATTGTTGTGAAAATACCATGGCATATGCATAGTCAAACTCGGATCATGTAGCCCAGTTCTCACTTGGGCTACAAAGCTTCGTAGTGAGTTATTGTTTTGAATACTAGAGTGCAGGGCTCTTTTTGGTTAGGAGACTTTTGATGACTGCTTCTATTTCCTTAGGGGTTATAGGGTTTCTTAAACTGTTTACCTGCTCTTGATTAACTTTGGTAGGTGAAATACATCACGAAAACCATCCATTCCCTTTAGATTTTCCAATTTTGTGGAACATAGGCTTTTGAAGTGAGACCTAATGATTCTTTGGATTTCCTCAGTGTCTGTTGTTATGTCCCACTTTTCATTTCTGC